ATTGGGCATTTATCCTGCTTGGCCTTCTATGAGCTTCCTAAATCTATAGTTTGGTGTCTGACACTAATTTGGGGCAATTTTCAGTCACTATTGCTTCAAATGTTGCTTCTGTCCCTTTCTGTCTTTTCCTTCTGGTATTCTCTTTATGCATATGTTCACCTTCTGTAATTGTCCCAGAGTTTTTGGATATTCTGTTCTGATTTTTTTCAGGTTTTGTTTCCTCTTTGCTTCCAGTTTTAGAGGTTTCTACTGTTGTATCCACAAGCTCAGAGATTCCTTCCTCAGCCATGACTCGTCTACTAATGAGTCCATCAAAAGCATTCTTCATTTCTGGTACAGTGTTTCCAATCTCTAGCATTTGTTTTTTATTTTTTCTTAGAATTTCCATTTTTCTGCTTACGTTATTCATCTGTTCTTGTATGCTGTCTGCTGTTTCTATTAAAGTCTTTAGCATTTTAATCATAGTGTAAAAAAATTCCTGATCTGTTACTTCCAACATTCTTTTTTGTTTAATTGCTATCAAACTGTGTAACCCAGATCTTTATTTTAATGTACAAAACCTTTATTTACTTGCCACTTCTCTAAACTGTCATTTAACCTAAAACCTGCATGTCTCCATACCCTCTAAAGAAATGTTTGATTTAGATTCAATTGATTCAACCTACCAAATTTCACCAGTGAATTTATGAATACTTCCTATTATCTCTCCATCTACCCAGCCATCCATCCAAGCTTATTTTTTTCCTGCTTTCAGTATTTTTTTTACTTTTTAAATCTTTTATTTATTTTTTTCACACACACACTGTATTTTATTTTTACAAGAGGTAAATAAACTGACCCCAAGCATTGTAAATGGATGACCACAACAAAAGCAACAATGATTGCAATTACCAAACACGAAACACACTCATACTATGTCATACTATTGACATTCAGTCCAGTAATCCTCCACTGTAACAGCTCCTTTACTTTGCAGTGAAAATTGATTTGTATATTTTTTGCCTCTGAGTCCTTGTGGGATTTTTTTTTTAAATTCAAACAGAAAGTCAAAAATTATAATCATCCTCATCAGTTCACTCAGTCCCATGTAATTAATTTTTTTTATCTTGATCTTTTGTTAGCACTTTTATGAATTCATCAGTTTTCCCTTAGAGTTCTGACAATGCTTATTCATTCAGTTCAGCAGTATAGTCAGTTACCAGAAACCTGTACTTGTCAGAGTCTTTTCCATGAATTCCTTGAAGATGAAACCCTTTTATAGGAACATTTTTGCAAAAGCATCAGAGTACACCCAGACTTCCAACATTCTTGTCATAGATGACTCTGAGGCTAGTGCTTGTTCAGTCTCTGCAAGCTGTGTTTTTTACCTTTTAGTATGCCTTGTAAGTCATTGTTGAAAGATGGACATGATGTACTAGGTAAAACAACTGTGGTGAATAATGGGTTTTTAATAAATGCGGTGGTGAGGTGGTGGGGAGGGGAAGCATTCTCTAGTCCTACGATTAGGTCTTAGTCTTTCAATGAGCCTGTGCCCTTAGACTGTGAACTTCAACAGTGTTTCTCAATCTCTCCCCACCTGCCCCCCACTGCAGGACAGGATGGCAAGAAGGGGCTGGCTGGGGTTAGGTATTTCCCTTCTCCCAGGTAGATTTAGGCTCTGATTAGAAACCCAGCAGATAAGGTTCTGGTAAATTAGTTTCTCCTGCAGGCAGATCTTGTTAAGAACAGAATGCTCTGGCATATTTGAGAATGGTTCCTTTCCCCTCTCTCCATCAGAAGCATGAGAGGATTCTTCTCTGATTTCCACTGTGAGGACCTGGTAGATCTTCTGCAGTTAAGAATCATGAAAGTAAGGAGGCCCCCCTATGACTGGGTCCCTGTAAAAATTTCAACTCTCAGACTTGTCCTCCCTGAGCTGCCAGCAATTCATCAATTACAGTTCATGTTTTCCTACCCTGGTACTGGTTCGCATGGGGCTTTTCTTGTGGGTTTCTACTCCAGCAAGTTGTGATTCTCTGTGTCTGTGAGTCTCTGCAGTACCTAGAGCACTGATTTTTCTTGTGGCCTCACTTCTCTGACTGGTTTAAGAAGAGTTGTTGATTTTTCAGTTTGAACAGCTTTTTTACTTGTTGTTAAAACAGAGTGGTGACTTCTAAGCTCTTCTTTACCTGCTGGACCAGAAACTGCCTGTTGTCTTCTTTTTACATATAAGGAAACCAAGGCAAAAAGATATTTAGTAATTTGATCAAGGCCTCCCAGCTAGTAGGTGGAAGAGTCAGAATTTGAATCTTGGTTCAGGAGCCTGTGTTCTTAACCACTACATCATTGAGGAAAACAAGCAAGTTGGGCTTGTAGGGGAAGGAGGAATATGTTTTCTTACCATGAGATCTTTCATATCTACTAAGTTTACATTTTCAAAACATTTTCTAAAACAATGAAAGGAACATGTGCCAGAAGGGTTGGCTTGAAAATAATGATTACTAAAACTTGAAGTAGATACAATAAGTAAACATTTTAGAGTAAAAGAAAACAAAAATCACTCCTAAACCTACCATTTTTACAGATTACATTCCAGTCCTTGTTCTTCTTTGTGAATATTATATGTGGGTATTATGTCCTCTTTTTCATTTAACATCGTATCATGGGAATTTCTCCCATGTTTCCACATCTTCTTTATAATCACATTTAATAGCTGTATAATAGTCTATCCTGGTGACATGCTATAACTTACAAAAGTATTCTCTTATTGCTTGACATTTGATGATTGACATTTTTCTTTTATAATGATAGGTAATGTTCCACAATTTTTTCCCTTTCACTGAGTGATTTCATTCAGGATAGCCCCATGAATGGAATTCCTGGGTCAATAGATTTGGATAGTTGTATAATTATTGCTAATTTTTGTCATATTAGTTTCCACATTAGGGTTGTACCAATTTTCTGGGCTTCCAGCATTGTGTAATTATATCAGATATAGTAGCATCAAAATGTTATATATATGTATATTGAAAACCTTTTAGATACAAAGGCAGTGTCAATAACAGGAGGCTATAAAATAGGACCCATTCCATGAACTGATGCATGACTTCTTCTCAGATTTTAAGTTTATGTTACATGGGGCCTTGTATATAGGAGACATTCCATAGATATTTATTGAATGGATGGATGATGAACGGTTGGATGGATGACATCCAACTGATTTCTCCTTATTAACACATAAAAGGTTAGTGGCAAAGTTGAACTGACATCCTGATTTAGAATATAGAGTTCTTCCTCCCACTATAACTGCAGTTTTACTTCATTCAGCCAACATTCACTACATACTTAGTATGTGAAAAGCACAGTCTGGAAGCTGGGGGTATTACTCTCAATAAAACATAGTTCCATCCATCATGGTCCTCACAGTTTGACTGGGAAACTCACAAACCTCTCCAGATCAAACTCTCATTTATAAAATGAATGGACTGACCTCAGAAGTCCTTTCCAGCTTCCGGATTCTGTGATCTTCTCAAACTCGAAATTTCCTACTTCTAGATACTAAGTCTAAAGTAAGCTTATCTTAAAGAACAATCTAAAGAAACTGGTGATCCTGGATAGTGACAGGGAGTCTTCTCCCCTTCCTACTCCTCATTTGTTCGTTCATTCATTCATCATTCATTGAGCACGTACTAAACATGAGACACTATTAAGCTCTAGATATAAAAATACCAATAAGTCCTCTTCTCTTAAAAAGTCTATAGTCAAAAGTGCGACGGTTTTTTGAAGAGGGATAGTTTGGCAACACAACAGTACTGCACACAGTGTTTATGTGTGTGTGAGTGGGATCCACTTATTCTACTGTCAGGGAGGGGAAATTTCCCCTTTTCTCCTCTTGAGTTCCTGTGGTTGGACCAATCATAAAACTGACACAAGACAGAGTGTGTCCTGTGGACTGGAGAAAAAGAAACCCATTTAATTTGTGTGCACATAGAGGTCGCATAGAAATGGGACCTAAGAAGTGGCCAAAGCAGATAGCTTTTATATTTTTTAGACAAAGAAGCAATAAATATGAGAGGGATTGACAGGACAAAGAAACTTAGCTTTGGGTTTTAATTAGTAAGGAATTTAAGCAAAGTTTGCGCTTAGGTAGTAAATTAGTAAAGAAGTAACAAGTACCATATGCTAACACATATATATGGAATTTAAGAAAGAAAAAATGTCATGAAGAACCTAGGGGTAAGACAGGAATAAAGATACAGACCTACTAGAGAACGGACTTGAGGATATGGGGAGGGGGAAGGGTAAGCTATGACAAAGCGAGAGAGAGGCATGGACATATATACACTACCAAACGTAAGGTAGATAGCTAGTGGGAAGCAGCCGCATAGCACAGGGAGATCAGCTCGGTGCTTTGTGACCGCCTGGAGGGGTGGGATACGGAGGGTGGGAGGGAGGGAGACGCAAGAGGGAAGAGATATGGGAACATATGTATATGTATAACTGATTCACTTTGTTATAAAACAGAAACTAACACACCATTGTAAAGCAATTATACTCCAATAAAGATGTTAAAAAAAAAAAAAAAGTAACAAGTATGCAGGCTTCTCAGTCCTGAGTCCCCTATCTCTGGTGATAATGGTGTCTTTCTACCTCCCAGTCCAAGGAGAGCACCTTTCACATGGGAAATTTATTTCCTGCTTTCAGGGAGACAGAGAGGAGGGTAAAAGTATCCCTCTCGCGTTGACTGTTTCTTAAGTAGTTTTAATTCAAAATAATCAACGTGCCGTTGAGGCATATTTTGGGCCCCAGCACTACTATTCTAGCTAACATTTAAATGGAGTGGTCTCCAGTATCAAAGTAGAGGAAGGAATCAGCTAATATTGACTCAGGCTCCCCCTCTGAATGCTCCCAGAAGTCAATGGAAAATAACACTGAATCTTCAAGGTTTTTCATAGGGAAAAAATACTTGTACCATACTTGCCAACATCAAGACGAAAGGGGACAAATGCATGTGGACTCACCATTTCTCTTCTTCTACTTGCACTCCTATGGACTGGAACTTACTGGGTGCTTTATTTTCCCCTGTTTTGTTAGGTTCCTCAGCATCATCCACCTGAAGAAATAACCAAAAGTAGAGGTGCTCTATTTTAGTCATCTTGCTTGAAAAACAAAGTCCCATTTCATTAGAAACCTCTATAATATTACTGGAACGTTTTGTGATTTATAACCTTTTTGTTCAATGTTTACGTGTTTGATGAGCAACTTCATTATAATGCACTTGGACTCTGCTGATCTTAGTAAAATGCAGTTTTGTTCATTTCCAAAGTGCCTAATAAACGTCTGTGATTCCTGCATGGACTTGTGAGGATATACTTCCTGTGAGCTCTGTATTAGAAGGGAGCACCTCATGGGATGGTGTTGTTGAAAGTTTTGAATCTGCAAATACCAAAATGCAAAAGAAGGCAGAAATTTCACTTATTGTAGTTAGAATTGTTGACATTGGGAGATTTAGGTATTAACCTTATTAATATAACTATAGAGCATCTTCATTTTTTTTTTCCCCCTTAAATTAAGGAATTGGCTTTGGATATCACTCCGTAGTTTCTAAGTAGCTAGGCATATATTATAGTTCATATAGAAAATGTATCTGTGTATAACTGATAGCTTATGTGACAGATGAGGCCCAACCCAAATTTGAAATAAATTTTATGACTCTTCAGAGCAGTTAGATTTATTCCTCTTTTTTCTCTATGTTTTTAATAGATTAGTTTTTTCTAAATAGAAAGCCATTTAACGTAAGTTGTATAAAACTAAAACACAGAAGTGTATAATGTAGAAAGCAGAAGTGCCCCACGAAGCACGGTCAATCCTTTGATGCATATTTGACCATCTTTTAACGTATGTAGAATATATTATATATAAAAATGATTACTAATACTAAATTTACACAGATGAGATTATACTATATATTTTTTGTGTGCAATCTGCTTTATTCATTAACACTGCTATCTTTTGGACATTTTATCATGTTAGTAAATATAGCTCTAACTCAATCCTTTTGTTGGCTACATAAATACTCCTTTTAATGGTTATGTAAGCAACGTGGGCATCAGGGTAATTTTCTCTCTGCTGTTATTACATTTAGTATTATAATTAATATTTCATATGTATATTTAGAACAATTCTGCAAATACTGTATGAGAAAAATTCTTAGGAGTAGAAATGTTAGATGGAAGTACTGAGCATATTCAACTGTAAGGGATATTGATAAACTGCTCTTCAAAGCATTTATCAGTGTATGGGAATATCCATTTTCCAAATGTTCACCAATATTAAATAGTGGCAAACTTTAAAATTTTTGCTAATATCACAGGTGAAAAATATCTATTAGCCTCTTGTATTTTTATCTGTAAACTGCCTATTTATATCCTTTGCTAGTTATTGTGGGGGTTTTCTTCTTATTGAGTTGTTTATTTTCTTCTTTATAGGATCTCTTTACATCTTATGACCCTTAAACCCTTTCTTGGCTATATATACTGTAAATACTTTTTCCCAGTTTATCGTTTGTCTTTTAAATTTTGTCCTTCATTGTAGAGAATCTTAAATTACTATGTAGTCAGTCTAGCTTTTATGGTTGGGAAAGACCAAAAGTTCTCTTATATTTGTTTTTATGCTTTCATTTTTTTTTTCATATTTAGTTCTTAAATCCACTATCCTGAAATGTTTGTGTAGAAGATACAGAAATTTAATATGTTTTCTGCACATGAATCATCAATTGACCTGGCTCTTTTTATTAACTAATTCATCTCTTTGGTTTGAGATGCCAACTTTATCTTATACCAAATTTTACCCATATATATTTACCCAAACATTCTCATATATAAAAATGTGTTCTGGGGCTTCCCTGGGGGCGCAGTGGTTGAGAGTCCGCCTGCCGATGCGGGGGACACGGGTTCGTGCCCCGGTCCGGGAGGATCCCACATGCCGCGGAGCGGCTGGGCCCATGAGCCATGGCTGCTGAGCCTGCGCGTCCGGAGCCTGTGCTCCGCAGCGGGAGAGGCCACAACAGTGAGAGGCCCGCGTACCGCAAAAAAAAAA